ACTGGATGATTTCGCTCTGGTTGAAGCGGCAGCCGACGCTGACACCCTGGTCCTGCAGGTAGTGCATGCACTCCACCACGGGGGGCCTGTTCTCATACCTGTGCCACAGCAGGTTACTGGGATTCCCAGAGACCCCCAAACCCCAGCCCTCCTCAGGACCCCTACCTCTGGTGCATCCCATCCTGCTTGCCGTGGAGCCTCTCTGGGCTCAGGGAAGAGAAGCAGGCTGATGCTGGGACCAGAGATGCTGGCAGGAGCCTTCTGTGCAGGGGCCCACCACTGAACACCCTGCTGTGGGGCTAGCAGTGGGGCACAGGCACTTACCAGTAGTAGAGAGAGTAGCTGGTTTTGAGCTTCTCTCTGGTCCCCCAGATGCAGGTCATGTACTCCTCGTTGAAGAGGACACACTCCACCCCTGCAAAGGACAGACACTGCCGTGGTTAGTGGCGGTTCCAGGGCCCAGGTGTGCACCAGGGAGACACAGCACACGCCAAGGGACCCCTGCACATCCACAACATACTTCCTTCCTGTGAGCCAAACAAGCCCAGCTCTTCCTGGGGGAGCTGCAATGCATCCTGCCTGCCTGCAATGCCAGGCCCACACTGCTCTGTTCAGAGTGTTGGCAGCTGGCAGCCCCACCACTGTCCAAGCAGTTGTCCTACCCACATCCGTGCCATGGGCTCCTCTTGCTCCAGATGTGCTTTTTCACCCTCCCCTTAGTTATCCTGTGGCATCTCATTACAGCCCCTGGCACTGTGGGACAGGACATAAAACCCTCCCTGCCAACCCATTTTGTTTATCCCATCAAAAAACCAGGGGTTTTCCAGGATTTGTTCCTGATGTCTCTATCTTGGCTAAATTAATCTTCCTGTTACACTACCGGGTGCTTGCAGGTGACCACGTGTCTGGGTGATTTGGGCTATGCTGGGCTGTGCATCCCACTGCATCCCACTGCCACAGAGCCAGGGTCTGAGCCCCAGCAGTTCAGTGTCTGCAGGAAACCCTGCTAAGCCCTGGGAGGTCGAGCAACTGCTCCAGGCACCCAAGCAGGTTCCTCTGCCCCCTCCTTCCGCTGAGCTCTGCTGTCTTCAGTCCTGCCCACGCAGCCCAAGGCCACATCCTGGGCTGTCTGGGGGCTGCAGAGCCACCAGGGAGGTGCTAGTCCCCAGTTAGAGCATCGTGCCACAGGGTTTTACTGACAGCCAGCTAGGAATTTGAACGTTTTTCTTGAAAGAGCGCTGGGTGGAAAGAGACGGCGGCCTCCGTCTGGCCTGCATGTGACGCTGCTTACCCGACTGGCTGGCGCAGATC